TGTAAATTTATTTTACCTATGGAATAAATAATCTTTGACTTTGACTTTGACTTTACAAAAAAACCGCTATATTCAGTAGGTACTTACATTACATATACCAATATTTTTTTATATACCAACTGAACTAGATAGAACGTATATAGTATACGATTTAAATTTTTCAAATGGTTGTAATTTCGTTTGTAAAAAAAAAATCTGAAATCAAGCCAGTGTCCCTGACGCGTCGAAATTAAAATGAACCTTATTAGTACGGGAAAAAAATTAATTCGAGTTCAGGCAGTATGGACTGTAAGTCCCCAACCCACATTGGCCTAAGCTCTGTCTTTATAAGAGAACCGTGTTTAAAAAGATTGGCCGTTTTGCACAGGAAATAACGAGTTTTTAAACCTGTGTTTTTTGGAACAGAAGGGCAGAGAAGAGCATGACAAACCACGATATTATTTTTAAGAAGATCCATTGAAATAAGTATCAAACTTTACTGGTGCACTAGCAAAGCTATTCACTTAATACCCTTAAATATCGTAACACATTGGAAACAAATCAAGATCATTAAGATACGTCACGCGTCGGCCATCTTGCGAGATCACTTCCCGCGCTAACTGCTGTCATCTGTCAACTTTGACAGTTGAGTTTACCGCCAAAACAATCGCAAAATAATCTCTGTAGACCATTGACTTACAATTATATGGACGTCGGGTCCGCGCTAAAAAGTGTCCGCACTTGTAAGGCGCTAAAATCGTATACAGAGCGCCAAACTCCGCTTTAGTCTTCATTTGTTCTACCTACTGCTCAAATTTTATTTGCGTCTAACTTTGATTCTTTTACCAGTTTTAATACCAATCTGTAATGTTATAACTCGGCCCTTTTGGGGTAAGTGTCTGGACTGTTTATATGCTAATCCGTAGTAAGGGAGTGTTTTATACTGTTGTACCTGTTTTTATATACCTTTTCTTGTCTTGATACAGTCTTTTCTTTACCTTGAACATATATTTACACAATAAATTTCTGTGGATCTGAAATTTCCTATTTTATTGCGGAGACATGTAGGCTCCCTTTGGAGAGGGCACAACGAGCGGTCTTGAAAATCATCCTAAAAGAACGCATCAGGTCCCCAACCACACTTGCTTACAAGGACATGGATGTCTTCAGTGTTTGTGGAATTTTTATTTTGTGCGTTGTATCAAAGTTGTACAAAAACGGCTTTAATAAATCGGCTTTTTTTTAATTTAACTAATTTCTCCATCCATTTATTTACAACAAAATAAGTGAAAAAATACTCTATCTGAGAACAAAATCAAAATTGAAAAATAGGCTTAAATCACTCTGCTATGAGGATATTGAACAAATTCTGAAAGTAGACAAATACACACATATACGCACACAAACACGCGCAGAGGGCTTGCGCGTGTTTGTGTGCTCATTCACAAGCACGCACAGGTAATTTAATGGCTTTGTAAGGAACATTATTTAATTTCCTATTATTTAATAAGTAATGTTAATTAGATTTTAGGAATTTTCTCGTCTCTATTAACTTTTCGCAAATATAATATATATTGTACATCCTTCCTAGAATTGGTTACTTACGAGACAGGCTTTGCCTAGTGTAGGAGCCAGTGCAACCGGTTTAGAAAAACTTTAAAAGTACACGTACGTATTCCATAATGTGTAATATAATATATTCTCACTTCTGTGACTGTTATCTGTAATTAAACTGTATTTGTTTTTATGTACAAATAAATTACTTACTTACTTACTTAAATCACAGGATTCCAATAGGCAAATACACTTGTGGTCATATTCATTATTTTACCTCCTTCTTATTTGGTTCCATGTGTAAATGGTCATATTTGTCAGTAACCCAATAGGTAGTGAATATAAATAGCCACGGGAAGAGCCTCCATCACAAAAAATTTCGAACTAGGCAGTATACGTATGTACAATATTATTTTAACGTCAGAATGTTTATCTGTGGTCATAATTCGACAAACAACAAAACGCGTTAAAATTTTGCAACAAAATTATTGTAAATATTAAAAATACGGTAAAATTATAAAGACAAAAAAATGTGTTTTCTTCTTTGTTGTGGAAACATTACGTGGTGGTGTTTGTGTTTGATACTTTCGCTTGTGCAAATGCTCATTTCCTTTATTTTTGGGCCTTTATATGTTGTTTTATATTTATTAAGTAAGTATCTATCTGCTTAATATTAATAGACCAGTGCACAACATAGGGACGTATAGAAGTTCAAAGTTTTCTTGGTTTTCCCCGATTGCTACCCATAAAGAAATGAAAATATTTTTTCGGACTTTACATTAAAACTAGGGGTGCACGCAAGGAGCCTCCCCGCACCACGTACTATACTTTCCTGTACATTGGGTAACAACCAGGTAGAACCTTACGCCGATTGGCAAAAGTGTATGACATCGATAAGATAAGAATAAGAAGTCAAAATAACCATATTTGAAAAAAAAACTTTAAAAACAAATGGCATTGGCAATGGCCTTAGTGTAAGCGACAAAAAGCAAATTTTACAGCAGAGGGTTTTTTTTACAATATCAAGTGACGCGACGAACAAGTCGCCTACCTGGTGGTAAGTGACACGCCTGTCCATAATAGTTGCAGTACCTCTTAGTGCTTTAAATCACAAAGATCTGAGGGGTACTGCCACTGCGCCAGTCACTCTGAGACATAAGTTGACAAGCCCTATGTGCCTGTAATTTCACCACCATTAGTACCCTTAAAAACTGGAAAGCAGTAACTATCACATTACAGCTTGACAAATGGAACTCCCTTCCGGCACATGTCTTCCCTCCCTCTTATGATATGGGGTCCTTCAAACGAGGCGTGAAGAGGCATATTGTAGGCAGGCAGGGTGGAGGTGGCTAGTGCAGTGAGGATTTCATCGCTGCACTAGGTTCCTTCGCGTTTGGATACCACTTTCCACTTAACATCAGGTGGAGTGGAGTCATTTGCCTGTCATGTATAAAAAAAAAAAAAAAAAAAGCTTGGCGGCAGAAATAAGTAAGGTGGCAGTATTTCACTGGATGAGCTCTTTCACAAGGAGTTCTACTGCTTCAAAAGGGGTTTTTCCAAATATTTCGACATATAATAGTAATAATAACACACACTCAACATAGCTCCGCACTAGGGAAACCCTGTGTTGTGGGTGCCATGGAAACAGACATAGACAACCATAAATTACACCCAAACTCACTCTCCCGGTCCGGTATGGTAACCGTTCGACCACGGAGGCAGTCATTAGTATAAATATGATACTGACATGAATTTTAATATTATAATAAACAATTTCATAACCGATTAGCAGATTACGTGTAGCAGCTAATTTTGTTTTAAAACAATGGATATTTAAGACTTTTTTGTAGCTTACAATAATTTTGCTGTCTTTATCTAAAAACTTTCAGGTAGCATTTGCGATTAAAAATATGCAACAAAAACGGCGAGATATGATGTCGGATGCGATGCAAGTGGGGTGGCTTAAGTTATGGTTTTTTAATATTGATTCTCCCGGTTACACTAAAATACAAAAACCAGTTGAGCTAACGATAAACCTAGCTTTTGCTACAATTTCTATTTCATGTAATTTTGGTGGGAAATATTGACGGGTCCTTATCCATAATAACTTAAAATATCATTTGCTATAAACTACGTTGTTTAGGTCAAAATGTCGCGTAAAGACGGCAGTCATGGCTCGAATTATTGGACATACCAGGCTGTGAATATTGCACGTCGGGAAACGGGCGCGTCTATAATATATTGTATTAATAACTAATGACTTTAACACGAAACCTTATTAGTCAATATCCAACGTCAAAATCATTGGCAACGTTATGAGTCTATCAACCTCAAATGGCTAAGTGTTGAATAAATCACTTCGGAAAAAAATATATAGCACAATTGAGGATAGGTCACATTACCGCGTTCCGGTTGTGAAGGGTAAGGGTGCTGGTGAAATTATAGGCACATGGGACTTGTTAACTTATGTCTCAGAATGACATTATGTGCAATATTTACAGGCTAATACTGTGTATCCAATAATACGAGGCATGACAGGCGACTTATGCAACAACAGTGTTTTTTATCGCAAAGGAATTTTAAACTATAACGGACAAAGACGCATCATCATTATAATAATAATAATAACGCACACACTCAACATAGCCTCGCACTAGGGAAACCCTGTGTCGCGGGTGCCATGGACACACACATAGACAACCACAAATTATACCCAAACTCACGAGAGAAATAAATGTAGGTCATACAAATATTTCTCCCGGCCCGGGAATCGAACCTGGGACCTCTGCGTGGCAGTCCGGCATGGTAACCATTCGGCCACGGAGGCAGTTAGTTATAGCTCACATTACTGCTTGGCGGCAGAAATGGGTTAAGTGGCAGTACTTCTCTACTGCTACTTATTATAGTCCATAAATATGAGACCTAATTACCGGACCCGGAAGAACCATCACCGCCGTTCATAAAATTTTAAATAGTCATGTGTTTGCTATCGACAATTTTATCGATAGATTGTGAACGGAAGTAAAGTTTTGTCGATTAATTAAATAAAGTCCAACGGAGTTCTCTCTCATTAGCGGCAGATATTTAAACCATATTTGTTGTACGAGCGACTCGTTCTGTGTACCGTTTAGGTTCTCGGGTATCATGACCGTGGCATCACAGTACATTTATTCAAATACACTCGAGAGCAATGATTCCGGGTCACTAAAAGAATCCGAAAAATCTCGGAAACTAAAAATGCTAGGTTAATGCAATAAATTGTATTTAATAGACAATTTAACACTCCTTAAATGAAGGTATTAAAACTTTTTAGTTATTGTAAAGTTATATCATAAAAAAATCAAATATGAAAAGGGAACACTTTCAAAGATGGAACTACGAAATTACAGCATTTGTTTTTGCTTTTGTTTGTAATCTGTCATTTATGTGGGTACATAAACCATGATGATAGTGCTTAATATTCATTATTTAAGCTGTAATCATGTCGCTTACACTTGAAGAATGCACCAGAATACTTACATTGGTGGAAACTGGCCGGAGTCAGCGCGATACAGCCAGGACTGTCGGTGTGTCGCTGTCAACAGTACAAAGAGTTCTCCGACGTTACGAAGAAACTGGTTCTAACCTACGCAGACCAGGAACGGGCAGAACTAGGTGTACCACAGCACGAGAAGACCGATACTTGGTGAACACCATGCTTCGAAATCGCTTTCTCACAGGAGCTGAACTCACAAATCAGTTTCGACGCCTCGGAGGAAGTAAACCAAGTGCATGGACAGTAAGACGTCGGCTTGCTGAATCTAACTTAAAACCCCTTAGACCTGCAAACGGCCCTAAACTGGAGCGTGGGCATCGTATTTCAAGACTAAGATATGCCCAGAACCACGTAAATTGGAGTATTGAAGATTGGTTGAAAGTTATGTTCTCCGACGAATCAAAATTTATGCTCTACAAGCACGATGGAAGACACAGAGTGTATAGAAGACCAGGGGAAAGATTCAAGCAAGCATGCATCGAAGAAAAAGTAGCCTACGGTGGTGGGTCTGTACTTGTGTGGGCCGGAATTTCTTCTGAAAGTCGCACAGAGCTGGTGATCATAGAAAACGGCTCTTTAACTAGCGAAAGATATGTAGATGAAATCCTCAATGAACACGTTGGTCCATTTATGGTCAATTTTGGTGAGGATGCTATATTTATGCATGACAATGCCCGACCTCATACAGGTAGGATTGTAAATGACTACCTTCAAGAGATGAACATTACTTGTATGGAGTGGCCAGCGCGCAGCCCGGATATCAACCCGATCGAGCATGCTTGGGACGAGCTAGGGAGATGCGTAAAACAACGAAACCCTCCCCCAATCACGCTTCGTGAGCTCAAAATTGCTCTCACAGAGGAATGGGAGAATATTCCCCAAAATCGTATAATGAACTTGGTGTACAGCATGCCAAATCGCCTAAACGCAGTAATGGAAGCACGAGGAGGCAATACGAAGTATTAAAATTCAAGAAAATCGTAATAAAGTTCAAAAATTTCATGTTTCCTATTTTTGTTCTAAGGAGAGATCAGCAGTTTTTTTTCTTTATGTAATTTTGTGTAAATAAAATGTATGGTGACTCATATTTTTTTTACTTTCATTTAAGGAGTATTAAATTGTCTATTAAATACAATTTATTGCATTAACCTAGCATTCTTACTTTCCGAGATTTTTTGGATTCTTTAAATGACCCGGATTCATTGCTCTCGAGTGTATTTTATATAAAATGTAAACATATACATAATTTCAGTAAGAAAGAAGATATCCATAATATTAATGATACACTACTTTATCTTGAACCGTAGTTTGCTTTCGAATTTCGGAACTAATAATTGACTACAGATATTTAAATGGTGCCATTCTTTACAGATCAAACAAAGCTGAACGAAATTCATGCTTCAGATCCTGACTACGGGCTGTTGCTATTCTCGATCATTATTATAATGTGTGTGATTTTTGTGTCGAGCATATTTTTGTTAATGTCCACTTTGCATAAGATCGTTTTTCCGATTCATATATACGTGTTCTTAACTATCTTGCAAATGGGTTTAACTCTGATCGTCGCTGTATGGTACGTTGTTTTTTTTTTCTTATACAATTCCATATCTTATGGGACGTAAAAGAGAATTTTATCAAAAGAGCAATTTATAAGGATGTCTCGGGTCATTTATTTAACTTTTGACAGCTCGAATTCTAATCAATTAGTGATGTCCTAATGCGTTTCCGATTCGATTTTTTATAACATTTCGATTTTATTTATGAAGAAGTTTTAATCCTGATTATGAGCTAGTTCCAAAAAGAAGAATTATTGGCTGATTGGTATCGTGCTGTTGCGTTTGACAATTTATGTACCCAAGAATTAATAATTAACGTTAATGAGGCTTCAAGTGGTGGAGAAGAATCCGACAATTCATTATAACAATTTATTAGACAGGTACCAAAATTTATCAACTTGAATAATCTTAGTTACATACCTAATCTGTTGGCTCGATAAATATCGGAGCTAGGAAGCACGTCGCTTCACTAAAATTAAAAAAAAAAAGTCCAGGAAGTATTTCATTTTTTGGTTGTATGTTGGCACGCATATGTCAAAAGTTAAATAAATAGTTGGAAGGACGGCGTAGTGCCTTGGAGTGTGTTAATTTGAAGCAAATCACGGCTCTCCGATAGCAACTCCACTTTTGTAATTTCACATCATTTCGATTTACGAAACTAAATTAAAATCCTATTTACTATTTACTCGATATTGGGAGGTCAGTTGGTACTAGGATCAGTACCAACTGACCCCCTAATAGCATATCGATATTAGAAGGAGTAAACACAAACATAATAGAAATTATTTTCTTTTTGTCCACAGGTTGGTAATAAAATGTACAATCTTTGACACGAAATGTTTCAATCATACAAAGAACAGAAAATCGAATGACGCTTTGGTATCGATAGGTCTGCTTGGGATTTCAGTAATTCACGTATTCTTCAATATATTCTTCATATTTATAGCTTGTAACTATAAACTGCTTTTATTGAAAAAAGAGAGAGAGTCACGGTGCGGCTATGTCAATTATTGTTAACATCACGAAAGAAAAAAGCAAGACTACAAGATATTTATTCGCTGAAAAATGTAGTTTACAATGGTGTTATAGTATATTATTATTAGATCGTACATTTCACCAAAACTTGGCATGCGAATATTTTACACAATTCTTATTTCAATCACGCACAGTGGTTAAATTTTACATTTTATGTTATCAATTAAAAAATCATTTATATTGTAGTAGCATTGTGTAACTAACAAATTATGCAATTTTATTTTAAATTGCCTACAATTTAGTTCTTTAACTGCATCTGGTATTTTATTAAATAATTTAGGTGCCAATATAAACATCGTACTATTGTAAAATTCCAAGGTGGGGCGTTGTTTTGGCCGTATTTCTATTATGTTCCTTGTTTTCCTGGGATGTCTGGTTTTCACTATATTAAAGTTGCCTGGATTTTGTTTTATATAAAAGCAATGGAAGGATCTCAAACCTCGAATAATATCATAACCGTTGTCGCCAAAATTCATATCATAATGTTAAACTCTATAAAATCTTGACAACGATTGGTCGTACTTTTTAAATAAAAAAGATGTACCTAACAAATTCTGGATTGTTATATTTGGTAAGCAATCGCAAACTCGATTTTTTTTTCCGAAATAACGTTAGTACGAATTTTCATTACACCGAAAAGCGAATTATAACGAAAACGTTGTTCTTTCAGGATATGTGGGATCAGAACATGATAAGTTATAGTAAATGTGGCAGAGTTTGGCATATTTGGGAATATTCGGGAAGTTCTTTATTATTTTGGGAACAAACTGAAAACTTGTTGTTTTCTGCTACTACGAACAAGCATCTGAAGGACAATGTTACAAACATAACCTATATCAACTTTTTAACCCCAACTTCTACAGGCTGTACTCAATTAGTTTTTTTGATGCTTTGATAATGAATCACAAGTATTGATAGGTCTCCTTAATGCACGTCGTGAAAAACTCTGGGTCACAAAATACAAGCGAGTCGCCATCCTTCTTTAACATAAGGATAACAATAATCTCCTAAAATAAGAGACTGAGGGGATAGAAATATACCTAAATACTACAAATACGACTAACTATCATTTTTGCACTCAGGAAAATAAGGCATTTTAACACGATTTTTGAGGTTTTGCGCGAGGTAATTGAGACGACTATAACGTCTAATAGGGAAAATGGCGAACCGAGCTCAAATGTGTGAAACTCCGCGTACTGTTGGCACACGTACCACATTCTTACGCTTTTCTACTGTATTGATTGTTCTATGATTAACATATTGAGGTTTTTTTGTTATAACTATATAATAAAACGAATTTATCATACATGGATTATATTTACTCAATATATCACATGATCCTCTGCGTTATATCGAACGTCACAGCATACTCTATTATCATCTAATGTGATACAATCACATGTGAAAGTTCCTGTGTACCGGCTTAGAATAATAACGCATAGAATGATAGTTTCATATCAAACGATCTGTCACAAGTGAGGCAAAAATCAAATTCATGTAGTCTAGTTTTAGTAGTAGGTTAATTTTCGGTTTTAGTGAATATTTATATAAAAATACAAGTTGAAACGCGTTACTTCCTCGTGGAATGTGATGTTAGTATCTATTTTATGTTTGTCTGATGTATTTTTACACTCATTTACCGCACATTTCGTCATTTTTAGCTAAAATTCTTGATCTGTTCGCGGTGCAAGTTGACCTTGAGCACTGAAGGCCCGCCCGCTCGTGTAGGCCCTCTGGGCGCGCTTCAATTTGCCTCACTTAGCGTGAGCGGACTAGGATTCTATGCGTTATTATTCTAAGTGTACCGGCAGAAATATGTATGGTTATTCTTTTCTGATTAAACTCTTTCACAAAGAGTTCTACTACAATAGGTACTAAATAATTTATTATGTTAACCTTAATTTTAACCGACTAAAAAATAAGGACGTTCTCAGTTGGATAATTTTTGCCAGAATATAGTAATGATAAAGGTTTTAAGTAAAATTAGATACATTGTATTCAAGCAAGCAGATGTGCAAATATTAATTTCATGTTCGGTTTCTACTGTTAATTGCACTACAAATCAATGTACGTTTGTATTTGAAAATTCTATGTATTCTTTATTTCTATAGAAGCAATGTGTCAGAAGCCATTTTGTCAATTGTAATTTATAAGTATGCCCTTGCAACAATTTTATTTATAACAACAACGAGGTTGGTACAAAAGATTCATAATTTTTGCTCTAGTCTGCCTTTGATTAATTGCACCACGTGTTTTGAAATGTTGAGGATAAGTTTTGACAAATATACATATCCCTAATGAACATATATGGCAAAGGCAGTACGTTTAGTTTTTTGAACAACGGTTTACAGCTGTCGATGATTCTTTTTTGTTGGAAAGTATTTCTGCCCTCCTAACTAAGAGTGCTATAACTAAGTCAAACCTGTTTTCGAGAGAAACGTAGTTAAAGAAAATAATTAAAATTTACTGTAGCTTCAAAACTACGCAAGTTACAGCGACATGGCATATATCAATAGAAAGGCAAAAGAATGAAGAATTGTAAGGCGACATATTTATATATCTATGTTAAGGTTGCGTATGATAATATACCAAAATTATACTTATGTTTAGTAGCTGCTCTAGTAACACAACTGATCCTCCTAAACATAACGGCAGTAAGTACCCTAGATACTGCACTTATTATTAGATAAATATCGTACTGCTAATTAATCTAGAAACTACATACTTAAAAAATATAATAAATAACTGCAGTATCTATTAAGTTACAGCAGTTTTTTCTAAAAATACACTTAATATTGATGCTATTTTCTAACGTTTTATACAGTCGAAACTCACAATTTTTTAGTATTTTCTTACTAAACATCGACGTAAAGTGGCAGCATGCTGCATTGCTTGAGGTTTTTGAGAGTATCGGTGGCCTAATTCCCTCATTTCCTAATTTTCTTCTTTCTTCATTTTCCTCTTTTCTCGCTTCCTTCCCTTCTGTAGTGTTAGCACCGACTGAGCAATGCCACTGGTATTACAAGCGTACATGATAAGCTACGGTAAGAGTTCGAGTCCCACTGTTTATTGTATACCTAAACAACTGCTTATTTAAGTCAAGTCAAAGTCAAAGATTATTTATTCCATAGGTAAAATAAATTTACA